AGGGAATGTAAGAGACGAAAGAGGGAGAGAAAGAGAGAGAGAGAGAGAGAGAAAGCGCGAATACGTGAGCGTAGTATAGAAGGAAAATGTATTATAAAATACAAGAGTTGTTTAAGAATATATCGGAATGCAAACTCCTATTTTCGGGCAAGGTCATAGATTTGTATTATTCGCAGGCCGATTAAATGCAAGAGCCGATGATTCCGATCAAGCTGCTGACTTTTGTGTATCGTTTCATTATCAATTCGACTTATACGACTGATTTGACAAGAGAGATTTTAGCTGGAATTAACGTAGTGTGCGTTATTACTTGCTGTTCCATCGGTCGCTCTCTGATAAGATACTGTAACTTACTAGAAAATATTAATGCCGGATAAGAAATTTTTAGTGTACACTAATTAATGGAACTAACGACCGAAAAAAAGCAATACTTACGCGAGGAAAGAAAAAAAAACAGTCATCGGATTAGTATTTTTCTCCAATATAACGCGCTAAAATGGTAATAAAATTTGGCCGCTGTGATCGACAAGCAAATTAATGCGACGTGACAGGAGTAATTATGACAAGGAATAATTGTCGAACTCGAAAAAAAAATTGCAACGGCTCTCACGTTGGAAAATTTTTCACGCCGTCATAAATTATCTGCCCTTTTCTACGTATATGAAAGCTCGATAATTTATTCAAGTCCCTGTAAAAATGGCGTGTCAGAAGAATTTAAGAATCGACGCGCTCTAAGCATTAGAGACTCGTATGGTTTACTTGTGGGCCGAGTCTAATGTCCGAGATAACATAATCTAGTTACTAAGCGTCTAATCTAATCAAAGCGATGAGTTTGTACAGACATACATACGCATATTGAAGAAAAATTTCAAAGTCAAACGCGCGGCTGATGGATGTCGTCGACCTCATTAATGTGTGCTTTGCAAATGCCGCTCTTTTTGCGTTTCTCAAGATGCAACGCGATTCGGCGCGCAGTTGTTTTTACAACCTTGATTAATCAATGGCTCCGCGGTGGGTACTTGTATCCATCCATCTCTCTCTCTCTCTCTCTCTCTCTCTCTCTCTCTCTCTCTCTCTCTCTCTCTCTCTCTCTGCGTTACGTTCTCTCGTGTATTTACATATTAACTATGCAGTCGTTGCCATCACTTGAAAGATATCGATGACCTGGTCATTTGTTTAAATCAGTAATCCAATATAGTTGAATGAAAATTGCAAAAATGTTCCAGCTATCGCCAAGGCTTTCGCGCACTCGATCCTTTCGCGATCGTCGAATAAAAAAAATTCCTCAAAGATTCGTGACGTTTATGAGCAAAAGTGACGCGCGCCGCTGCTGATTATGCAACTCGCGTTTGCCATGCGAAATTTATTTCAGGACCCGAATAATAAAAATTCGCGCTTATGTAAACGAGCCCAGCATTGCATGCAATGCTAAAGTGACGGAATAGACTGATAAAAGTTGACTTTGGAGGCAGGTTAAGGAAAAAAGAAAGAGAAACAGTGCACGGCTATACGGCAAGAGAGCGGCGAGGAAAGGTGAGCTGAATGAATATTGTTTCAGTTGAATTTGTCGGCTCCGCTGGATAATCTATAAGTATTTGATCGTGAGAGATATCGCGAATAATAAAACTGTCCAAGGTTGCTGCGGCGCGGTGTATATTCTTGTTTTGCCGCAACCTTGCAACGCTCGCTGCCGATTTTTACTCGAATATACTGGTCTACAAAGCGCTCTGCCAACACAAAGAGTCCGAATCATAATTGTAGAATATCAAGCCCGTGGTGGGCCTCACTTAGCGCCTGGGCTTTCTTTGTGCGCCGAATGTGTATATTTTGCCTTGCAGCTGAAAGTGCGCAATACGCGCGGCGTAAAGGCAAGAAATTGGTAGATTGGGAGGCAACCAAATCGTCCTCGAAAGTGCGCGAGGCCTTAGACATGCGTGCGTGTGCAGTACACGGGCGCAACAAGCTGCACAGAGGTATATAGTTTGGATGCGTCACGTAACCAACGAGTGCGCTATAGAAAGAGAGAAGAGAGAAGAGAGGAGTGAGCAGCGAGCTGCGAAAAAGGAACGACAGGACGATCGCGCACGTCGTCACACACACGTATACACGCGCGCGCGCAGCAGAGCGCGGCTTGCTCTCAAGGCCAACCTGTGCGAAGGCGAGCCAGGCTTATATACTACTATGCCGCGGCTTAGTAGCAAGTATATAGTAGAGAGGGACCTCCACTTCCTGAAAGTCCAGCGCGCTCAATGCCGATCCTTCTTCTTCTCCGCTCCTTTTTCTCTTGATATTCCGTGCCTACTCGCGCCATTGCTCGCGCTACAAGGACGCGCAAAAAGGACTTGCCCGATCGCCGTGCCACACATGCTCTCTCTCTCTCTCTCTCTCTTTCTGCCGCGCGGCTTTTTCCTCGCACATTTTCTCTCTCCCTCTCTTCTTATTTTTTCCAAAGACTATTCATAGATCTCGCGCTGAAAAAAATTCGACTTTAAACCGCCGAGCAAAGTCAATGGTGCAAGCTCTATCTCTCTCTCTCTCTCTCGCTTTCGCTCTCTTTGCAGTGGCTATTTTTGCAGGGCACTCTATAGACAGTCGCTATTTTTGCGAGCGCTGTTTTTCCGAGCGTGCGCATCGGTACGCAAACGTAAAATTGGAATACGTCGAATATGCGCTCCCAATTTATGGCTACTATTTACTGTTGGTCGCGATAAATTAATCAAAGCCGAATATTTCTCAACGCCGGGGCGCTATGAATGATCGCTCTGCGCCATATTCTCTCTCTCTCTCTCTCTCTCTCTCACTCTGTTTCAAACGGTTAGAGAACCATACGGACCATACCGAAGAACCATGCGGTTTGATTCTCTATGTTTGAACACGGGATTTTTCACAGAAAAAAGGAAAGAAATGAATATTACGTTTTATCACGTTTTACAGAAGGAGTGAGTGAGAGAGAGAGAGAGAGAGAGATAAACGGTCAAAAGCTTGACCGATTGCCGAGCGGGGTCGCGGCACTTTTAAACAAACTATTCACGCGCGTCGATAACCGAGCGTTTTTTTTCTGTAAAGTGGCTTTCCTAGATAAACAATGGTTTCCGCCGCAGAACTGAAAATATTTCACGCTATCAACCTGTCAAGACACCTGCTTTTGCCCTGGCAGGAAAAAAAACCTAGGCGGACGAATTCTAGCTCGCAAAAAGAAGAGGCGATGCTCGTCGCAAACTCTACTAATAGAACGCGTGGAAAGAGAGAAGCGATACGACTGGTTAAGACACTTAGAGCGAGCGAGCGAGTGAGAGAGAGAGGTTGTGGCTCGTTGTTGATCCAGCCAGTCAGGGTCACGCGGCGGCGCGTCTGCACATATCAAGCGCTGCTCGCGTCTGCACACAAAGGATCGCGCTGTGTGTTTGGCTCTCTACTGCTGCGGCGCAAGCGGGGGATTACGTCACGCGCCGGCCGCCGCCGCCGCCGACGAGCGGCTGAGTAAGAGAGAGAGAGTGAGAGAGAGAGCGAGAGAGAAAGAGAGAGAAAGAGCGAGAGTCGGCGAACCCGTCTAACGGCCGTCTAGCGATCGTCTAGCCTGCTACCGCCGACACTATGCTGCTCTCGTTCACGGTCTAGGCCAACAAGCGCGACCGCGGGCACGCCGACACCCACCCGCTATTATTACATTTACTCCAAACAGGTTAGTCATCGAGCAGCAGCCGTCGCCGCTAGTTCGACAAACTATGCGGGCGGTATAACACGCGTACTGTAAAAAATATTGTTTGGAATAGTTGTGAACGTAGTCAAAATACTAGTCGCCAATAATGCCTATACGTAGACGCAACGATTGTTATATGTGGGGATCGCGTTACAAACTCGTGAGGAAAAAGCAAGTCCGTTTCTTGCGCTTTTTCGCTTTAGTACGTTTCCCTCGCGGCCTACACGAGAGCAAAAAAAGCGTAGCTGTAAGCAGACTTGCGCGCGCTCTTTCTCTTTCTCTTTCTCTCTCTCTCTCTCTCTCTCTCTCTCTCTCTCTCTCTCTCTCTCTCTCTCTCTCTCTCTCTCTCTCTCTCTCTCTCTCTCTCTCTCGCTTGTCCTCGTGATATCTCTCTTTCGCGCGCCGGGGATGCAAGTGCACGGGAAAAGCGACAAGTGGGAAAGCCACGTTGCCTCGCGATAAGTACAATAACAATCGACTGCCTTTCGCTATTTCTTTTAATGATTACAGTGTAGGAAATGCGGGCTTGTCGTGGATTAATTATCGAATTCCGAGAGCTTCCAGTTTATTTGGAATACTTCGGTATATAGATTTATTAAATTTTTTTCCTCTTTTCGCCGGGACGTACACTAATATATCTGCCCAAGGCCAAGTGACCACACGTCGCAATCATTTCTGCTTGCGAAAAAACCCATGGAAAGCTTCGTAAAAATGAACGAATTAGCAACGAAGCATCACGTATTCGACTGTAGGATTTCGATGAAAAATATAGCCTTGACAAACTTATTATCTCGTTTATTTATTTGCACGAAATTTGCACAAGGTCGCAAGTCATGTAAAGAATCTCTTTGTTCGTCATTATACTCGCTAAACTGCCTACAGTACCGAAAATACCATTTTCTTTTTACAATAATTTTCCCGAGCATTTTACGTTTTTGTCGGAGGATAACCGTCAACTCGTAAACTATATGCGAAATTTTTTATTTTTACTTTTCAACGGCCTTGTTTAGATTGAAAATATTTATAATTATCAATCGTCCTTATTTATAATTACTACAAAAGAATGCAACAAGAAAAAATGCTGAAAATCGCTACTCGATAGATTTTTTTTTTGTTATCGTCGTTGCGAAACAGTTGCAAGGTCACGCGCTCTAACCTCTTTCTTTTGACATAGCCACGTTGCAGTTTCGGATGGCACTCCTTGATTCTCAAATATGAGTTTTCTCGCAAAAAAGGAAGATGGAGATCGAAAATGCAAGCATGACTTGGTTTTGTTTTTAAATCTAATCGTATGCCGTACCTTGTTCAGGTCCCAGTGTAGAACAGAAACAGTGGTCGTCGTTCCCTCGTAGCGCCAAGTTCTCGTCCTTGCTGATCTTCGTAACGTGAAGAGTCCTTGGTTCGCGTGTTTCTGGCGGCTCGTCGTCTCCTCGCGGCGCTGTCTATTTGCAGCTGACGACGACTAAGGGAGTAATGGTAGCAGTAGTATCCCGTGGCCTCGAGTCCGGCCCTACGTCCATCTCACTTGGCGCGCACTCGTAGCAGCAACAGCAGCACAACAGTACTCTACGCTCTGACACAGTTTCTTGCTTCTTTAGTACGGTTATCATTCAGTCGATATACTTGCACTTGTCACGCATGTATTTGATGGTATATCGAAGCAGTCTTTAATAACGAACAAATCAAACAAAAGAAAAGAAAAAAGTCAGCGCTGGCAGTTCGTGTTCTTTCTTTTTTTCTTGTTCCTTCGATCGAAAAGTTCAGTCTTCTCAACGCGAGCACTGTGTATAGGTGAACATGTGTGTTGTGTTGGGTGTGTGTATGTGTGTATGTGTGTGTGTGAATGGAAAACGTGGACGGTGGATTGCACTCGATAGTAAGCAGCAGCACGTGTTCGCGCGGTATGCTTGCGGATCGGTAGATAGTGTGTTTGGTTGGTATTCAAAAACGAAGGGCGGCGAGATGGCGAGAGCCGGACACCTAGTCTAAGAGTGATTGGGAACGCGACTGGGCAGCACTTGATTCGCCACTGCCTCTGCTGCCTTCGAGCTCTCCTCTCCCGTGCACTTTTTTCGGCGGCGGACTCGCCACTCTTTTTCGCCAGCCTGCCTCGTTGCTCTCTCTCTCGCGCTCACTCTTTCTCTCTCCTCTTCGCTTATTCGCATTAGTAGTTGTGTATACTATAGTAGTCCGCTCTGACACAGCCTAATGAGCTTGTGTGCGTCCCGTAAACCCGAAAGAGAGAGGGAAGTACGTGCAGCTGTGTGCGTGCGTGCGTGCGAGTGTGCGTCTGGAGGGGTATAGTTACCGAAATGTTAACCTCGTGGAACCACTTTTTATTGAGTGTCGCAAAATTCATAGCCGGAGCGTAGCGCGCTCCTCTAAAAAAGGGGAGGGGAGGCCAGCAGCGGAGCGAGGGGTAAGCGCCCCCACTTTTGCCAACTCGCTTAAAAAACAACCTGGAGTGAGAGAGAAAAGAGGGGCTGGAGGGGCCACCGCGCTTTCGCGCGCTCTCTCTCTCTCTCTCTCTCTCTCAACACACTCTTTTCGGCCCCCCTTATGACAACCCCCTCAACCCCCCACCACCACGGCGCCACTTATACTACTACTACTACTACTACTACTACTACTACTACTACTGCGTGTACACGCAGAGCTTTCTCTCGCACTCGCTTACTCTTTATTCTTCCTCCTCTCTTTCTCCGCTCTTGCAAGCGAGTGCGACACACCGCGATATGTACAATATAGCTATATATCGCTGAGAGAGAGAGAGAGAGAGAGTGGGAGACTCTCTCTCTCGCTCTCTCCTTTTTTCGCCGATTTGCCAAAAGGAGGGAGCGACGTTTAGCCCGGCGCGCTTGCTGCATGCATAGCCAAACTTATGTACAGTTAGCTGCGCGCATCCAAAAGTGAGAAACTCTCACATACATACACACGTTGATACAAGCATGTATCCGCGTATGCGTGAGAGGACGTATCTTTTTTTCTTCTTCTTTCTCTCTGCGGAGACTGCTTGCCTGCCATGTAGTCGCCTTGTGTAAAAGGATATTTCCTTGCGAAATAAGGATGGATTATTCATGCGCGATGTTAACGGTTCAATATCATTAGGAGACTCTTTCTTTCTATCGAAGACTTACATAGGATGTGAGACTTCAGGGCGCTTTATTAAACATTGATCGCAGCCAACTTTCCAAGATAGCCCGACAAATTCACATGAGATGTAATTTAGCTCGGAGCTAATTATTAAGAGCGAAATCGAGTTAAACTTCTTCGATTGCTGCTGTCACTCAGGATACGTGTATCTTTAAATTTTCATGCAGAAATATATAAACCTTAAGAGTCTGATATTCATTAGACTCTCTCGCTCCATTATACAACAAGAAGAAATTAATCGAGCTTCAATGAAATTTAATTGTATTTCTCGTTATGCGGTACGAGTATTATCTATTGGCTTTCGTCTTCCCGTTAAGAATCTAATTTCAGATACACACGAAAGCACTATTTGATATTTAACGAATTATTCATCGGGCATGATTGTCAGATCACTCCGCCATGAATGTACGTATCTCAGTGTGTTAGCGATTTTTTTTCTACATGTGTTGATGCACTCCGTATGTATGATAATTCTGCCTTGTCATTCTAAATCACTGGCAGGCTACAAAAAAACTGCATCTTCATTCAGAGCGAGTCAATTAATATTTGACAGGTCATTAGCAGCGCTACTCTTTCTCTCTAATTGATGTGCGTAACGACGCAAGTACATTCGGTAAAAAAACAGATGCACCAATCGCCTATTCCTTTGCAGGGGAAGGAGAAAGAAAACAAGCCGCTGCACCGAAAAATTCTTCTTGTTTCAGAATCCTGACGTTTTGTCTCGACACTGCGCGACTGAATGAGTTATAACTGCATCGCACAAACAGCCTCCGTGGATAATAGAATAGGGTATGTAGTATACGTGTTGTGCGTGCGTTTTGCTGCACACTAAACTGGTTTCCTATCCGCGCTTCTCTTTTTTTCTTGCATTGGCCGTCTTCTATTTTGCTTTCTCTCTCCCTTTTTCGAATCCTTTTGGTCCTGTTGCCGCCGGTGCAGCTTGACTCTCTGTCTCTCTCTCACTCTCTCTCTAATGTCTCTCTCGCTCTCTCTCTCTCTCTCTCTCTCGTTCGTCCTTAGAAAAATATATTCCCACATTCGTGAGAAAGACAATTCAATAGGAAGAAGGACGAAGGAAGGACTAAGGTTTCTTTCGTCTTTTGAGGCAAGAAACAACGTTTTTCTGCACTTAATTTCCATATTTATGTATGGATAAGCTAAACCTCGTCGACCCATACTTTCACTGATCGACGATTCCCTACTTCCAAGTTTACTTTTACCTTGTTTTATCGTTCTCCTTTTTGTTCTCTCTTTTACTTTGTAAGCTATTGGGCTAGCTTCGAAAATAGATTTTGTGTTTTTTTGCCTTTAACCAACACACATAACGTACCCAAGTATCTAACTTTTTTCCTTGTCTTTGGAACTTATACAATCATTTTTGTACAATGCCCACATAGATATCATGGCGTTCTTGGTACGATCAATGCCACGCATACATAATAGTGTCGCAGAGAATTAAAATGTTTTCTATTAAGTATTGGCTAATTTATTTTGAGGCGTCACATCAATATTCTTGGAGCTTCTTAAATATATAATTTGTCATGGGTTCATTGTCTTGACCGTGATAAATCATCAATATAGATATCACAACATACAAGACTATCAATTTTAGACTTTTTACGCGTATGGATGTCCCTCTTCATATATGATAGTCAATTATGATGTCGCTAAAGAAAACATAGGGTTATAGAATTGGGATATATGTTAATTTACGTAGTGGCGTTATCGCTGATAAAACATCAAAATACAATGTTGCGGTAAAAAATAATCGAGACACCGCGAAATCAAGGCCAAATTTATATTTTAATTGTTTTTATTGTGGCGTGAAAAGAGCAGAAATCGTTATTTCGATAGTATACTTTCATAATAGTATACGACGTGAAAGCATAATTCGGCGAGAGGACAGCTTTAAAACTTAAAATTCCAAGCTGGTTATGTAGCCGAATATAGAAAAAAGGGGAAAAAGCAGTGAAAAAATAATAACGCAGCTAGTTGCGAGGCTTATAGCTGCAGTCTTTTTATCGTAGGCGCATGGAATTGAGATGGCGTGGGCCTTACTAGCTTCTCGAACGACGAGACACAGCTCCTCCGAGCGAAGAGAAGAAAAGGACGTCGAAAAGAAGAAGAAAAAAAGAGACGAGAGAAGAAGGCCTGTGGGCCTGCAGCGCGTGCATTCGCTAGAGAGGGCCATGAACCCCGAACAGGTTGCCCCCTTGGACGTTCACCTCCAACTCACTCTCTTTTCCCCTTGCCGAAATTTCGCGGTCCCCCTCACTCCTCCTCCTTCTTCCGATCCTACACGCTCCCGCTATCGGCCAAAGCTAGAGCTCCTCCTTCTCCCTCTCTCTTCTTCCTCCTCGGGCCTTCTGGCCCTTTCCTTTTTTTCTTCCCTCTTCTTTCTTTGATGCTTCTCGACTTCTTCACTGCACTATGCAGTTCGCGAACGCGAGGGGTGAGCCGGAGAGAGTAGATAGCGTTTGCTTCCAAAATTACTACGAGACTTTTAGATCCTTTTGCAAGAGATCTTCATGGGAAAGAATTTTTTAGTTGCGCGGCAAGCCGTCATGCTGCTGCTCGTGCTTCTTTCGACTTAGTTTTCGACTGAAATTTTTTCGCTCACCGTCGCGATAGATGACCAATAATAAATGCGCGTTTTTTTCAATTTTCGACCTTTTGACGTGCTTCTTTCCAAATAATATATTTACCGAATATCAGAGACGTTTTATATTGTATTTAAGTTAAATTCTGTCTACATTTCTCATTCAAAGACATGATGCATCGATTTTTATCCGATAGAAGGGTCTACTATTTGTAGAAGAATAATGTCAATTGTCAAATTGTGTTTTTGTGTGGATTATGTTGTTCGAGACTCAACTAGCGCAATTGAAATTTACAAAATCTAGCGTATGAAAAGAAATATAACTTATTCTGCAGCTTGTCATGTAAAAACTACGATTTAATCGCAAAGATCGAATACACAAGCGCTCGCGAAGATTTCTTCGCGATCTTTAATCCACTTGATTTCAAATGAAATCATAGTAATTTTGTGTGTCTTGCATGCACACGAGCACCAGTTGCATCCTTCTTGATCCTCTCTCTTCTTCGTTCTTTCTTTTCTTCGCCCTCTCCTTGCGGCCATCCCTCTTCTCCGTTTCTTCTACGCAGTGTTAGATAATCTCTTGCGCGTTCGAAAATTGCCGTGTACCTCCAGGCCCTTCTGCTTCTCTTTTATTTTTCGTATTCTGCCCTCCTCGATGAGAATTCTTCATGGCAGGTTACTAGGATGATTGAGAAACGTCGATGGTATGAATAGTTCAGATATTAAGCAGCCAAAACTTTTGAAAATTGTTAATGAGATGGGAGAGAGAGAGAGAGAGAGGAGCTTGTATCGCGAATTCTTAATGTACATCGATTTCCGAAAGTTTGTTAATAATTGATCGAATACTAAGGAACTGGAGGTATATATCTATTTATTAAGCGAAATTGATTTAATGTTTCATTACTGGCACGTCTTCTGACGCTATGAGGAATGTATTAAGTTTGAGAATTATTGATGTGCATATCGATGTGTCCAAAGGAAATTTTCGTAGTTACCAATTCATTGACGCCTCTTTAACGAAAATCGAAAATTCATACATTGATTTAAAAGCAGATTCATCATATTATTACAAAATTGCGTTAAACTTTCATGTAACACAAACAAGAATACATGAAATTTTTATGCAACGACTTTTTTTAATTATTCCGACATTTGGAGCGTAGACTTGTCTAATATAATTATCTTTATTTAAAACAAAAACACCAATGATTTTTTCTAGCATCTAAGTACATTGATGATTGATTTTACTGCTTGGAATATCACATTCTGTTTACTCAGCATTCAATTACAATGAAAACATTTCATAATTCTAGATAT